GGGGGGGGTGGTAGACAGTGCGAAAGGACACAAAGCTTGTGAAGGTAAAACTCCAGTAGAGTATGACTAAGTGCAGCGAAATGATGCCTTTTTAAATATGCGAATAAATTCATTCGGAAATCTGTACATTTCCCCACCTCAACTTGAGATTTTATTGCTCTGTCTACTCAAAAGGGGGTTCTAGCCGCCCGTTCTGTCTCATCGCCGAGATACCTCCCACCCCCCAATTCCGTGAAATTCGAGGTTTTTGGGTTGGATAATCCTCTTTCTACAAATGAGCTACGGAAAACGCCTTTTTAAAGGAGTTATATGACCCATTATTAAAATTTGATGTTATAAATGCAATAATTTTACTGTGTTTACAGACATTATGGCGAAGAATTTGTAGGCGGAGGGCGGGGGAGGGTTAGAATGAATTTCACTGAACAAAAACGATGAAGGAGATCAAAAGCTATGAGGGAGCTACCTCAAGACAATCGGGAATCTTGCTGCAGTTGGTTCATTGGCTCTGGTTGTGCAATACTTTCTAAATGAATCGTTGATATTCCCAAATTCGTATTTCACAATTTGTTGAATGCTTGATAGGAGCAGATCATTCGTTCGCAGTGTTATTGCAGCCAAGACAAGACCGTTGAAAGTCCCATATCTCAATAGCGACAGAATGACGACATTTGCAATTCAAAAAGCTCCAACCGCTGGATAAGTTGCTTTTTTTTACGGAGTGCCGTTTTTTGTAACTTTCCAGGGGCTACTACATCTCCTACGAGAATTCCGATATTCCAGAAGTGCGTCCGAGGGTGTGGTCTGCTAGAGCCTTCAACTACGACAATATCGGCTACGCCATGCTCACTCTCTTCACCGTCACGACAGGAGAAGGGTGGCCTGAGTTAGTTCTCCTTAATTATTTGTCCATCAAATGTCACACAATAATTGAATTTATTTCATTGATTTCTAATAAACAAACATCCAAAGAGTTGAACGCATTGCTCAGATTAACAGTACTTGCATTGACTTGAAAGGAGATTTACTTGTCAACCAATTCCCGCCAAGTAGTTTATAATAAAATTAAAGGTCATTTGATAGCCCCCTTCACCGGATGATGTTGGGCATGTTGTAACTATCGAAACCTGGGAATGTTAAACGCCCAGTCACCGCAAAGCAAAAATCAACAAGCCATGTTGTTAAGACGTAGTTTTGAATGGAACCGGAGCTTGAATAGGTTTACTCGTCAGATGCGAGCAGGGTCCACTTTTTAAATAGTTTGAAAAAAAGTTGGTGGACTTTTAAAGTCAACTCTGCAGTCAATTTTTTGTGTTCATGCACTGAGTACTCTATCAATTTTGGTAAACCCCTACAAGTATCGCTTCATGCCAGTTGGCACAGAGCATTACACTATTTTTGGAACTGATAGAAATAACTTTTGATCTTCTCACCAGAGGGTCATTCAAGGTCTCTGAGCCTTACTAGTTACATTTTCCTACCCTTCTTAACCGCCTTTGACAATAGAAATCAAGTTACAATGGCAAATATTATACATTCGACCATGTACAACGTTTTTGCTGCCATCAGACTGCTCACCTGCGAAGTAAGACATCAAGACTTCTCAAAATTAGTGTCTGAAGACGTTGGAACAAGCAATCAATAAGTGAAAGCATTAAATAGGGGGGTGTGGGGGGGGGAAGAGTGTGTGTGAGATGCTAATAGAGGTTTTCGCGTCGTATAGTATCATGAAGAATTCCATTGATGCGACTGGAGTGAGCCAAGGACCAAAAGCCGACTATCGACAGCAAGTGGCGATCTTTTACGTCGTCTTCTTCATTGTATTCCCTTTCTTCTTTGTCAACATCTTCGTCGCTTTGATTATCATCACGTTCAAAGAACAGGGTGAAAATGAACTAGTGGATCATGAAATGGACAAAAATCAAGTACGACTGTGACAGGTTTTTTTGTGACAATTTCGGGTTTATTTAACTGCCCACTTACGCATGACGCTCTCCTTTAGAAGCAGTGCATAGATTTTGCCATTCATGCTCGACCACTGTGTCGTTATATGCCGGAAGATTCAAAGTCCATCAAATATCGTATCTGGCAGTTGGTTGTATCTGGTCCATTTGAATACTTCATTATGACAATGATTGCCCTCAATACGCTCATCCTCATGATGAAGGTAACTCAAAGCTCCTACTTACTTTCACATTTGATGTGAAACGACTTCTTGGCAAGATTGTCTTATTTTTACTAGTACCATAGACCGGAGAAGTCGCTTCGTTCAATGCTAGAAGCCGATGACGATACTAAGGCTTACGAGAGCTATTGCGCTTCCTTGATGTACCTCAATACAGCTTTCACTGGAATGTTCACCATAGAGTGCCTTTTGAAAATTCTCGCTTTTGGTCCAAGGGTGGGTCAGCTTTTAATATTTCTAATTCCTATTATCGCCTTTAGAATTACTTTAGGGATAGGTGGAACATCTTTGATTTCATCACCGTTATTGGGAGCATTACTGACGTACTAGTCACCAGTTCACAGGTGAGTATCTTCCGCAAATGATTAATTGGTAGTAATGATAGCTTTTCTCACCTCTCTCTCTCTCTTACATTCTTTTGTTTGTTTGCTTTATGAAAGGACACCTCTTTCCTGAACTTGGGTTTCCTACGACTGTTCAGAGCAGCGCGGTTGGTGAAGATGTTGCGTCAGGGATACACTATCCGAATTCTTTTGTGGACATTCATCCAGTCATTTAAGGCCCTTCCCTATGTCTGCCTGCTCATAGCAATGCTATTCTTCATATACGCCATTGTAGGAATGCAGGTTAGACTAGTAAAAGAATAAAAATGGCAAATTACGGCTATCTAATACTTTTAAGAAGCTAGTTATACGGTAAAATAGCAGTAGGGTATCTGATTTCAGCCCATCATCATTCTTCGAGCTCTACACTCCACCTTCCACCAATCATCAAATAACAACGAGCCACAAACCTTTGGCTGCGTTTATACAGTAGCTTCGATCATGCTGTCCACTTGTTTGTCCAGGAAAGTATCAGGTCCTGGACCTCTGAACAACAGGGAATGCTTTTGTCCTCAGGAGACCTGGAGATGCCCTAAGCGCTCGTATCTAAGGACAAAACCTAATTAATGGAGTCGACTAGTTTGGGTTTGAAAGACGCGTTTGACTCCCAATAGAATGCTTTCAAAAAGGCTATACAAATTATTTTCGCCGATGAAAGTAAACAGTTCAACTTAGTTTCAAATAAATAACCCTCTTGAAAATTGTTGTAATATTAACTCAAATTAACTGGACTTGACTGAGCACATTTAATTGAATTCTGCAATGATAGAAGGCCATTTCTGACCTTAAAATTGAGAACCTTTGGTTGTAACAGTTAAGCAGTCGGTTTATGTGAGATCAGGAGTAGCCCAACACACAGTCCTCGGATATTAGCGCTTTTCTGATCGCAGAAGTATTTGATCGGCTCGTGAAATATGTGGCGACGAAATTATAAAGGGGTTTAAAACTCTGTTGATTAAATTTATTTCGATAATCCCAATAGACTTTGAGACTCTTCCAATGCAAACCATTCCACAAGTAGGGATGGTGAGGCGTAAACCACCTCATTTCAAGCTCCAGAGGCATTCAAGGGGCACCTTTGTAATTTACTTTCCTACTTATCCACAACCTGTAATAAGTTTAAGGCTTTATCAAGGCTTCATATATCAAAATTACATTCATACCTTTAAATATTTCATTTAGTGCTAATAATAAGTCAAAGTACAACAGATATTTGGTATTAACGAAAGGTAATATTTGGTTGCAGATTTTTGGAACAATTGCAGTGGACGATCCGACAAGTCAAATTACCGTTCAAACAAACTTTAGAACATTCGGGAATGCACTCCTTCTTCTTTTTCGGTATGTTCTATTCATGAAGTACTGCATTGAATTCGAAGTTGGAAACAGTAAAGAAAGTGGGTTTGTTCTCCCCCAAAGGTGTTCAACTGGAGAATCATGGCAGGAATTAATGCTGTCCTGTGATTTTCCTCAACGTTGCGCTGTGATGACTAGTAGCAACACAAAACTCGAAGAGGACGGTAGTAGTGTTTCAGGTGGTGGAAGTACCCTAGGTGGATACAACTGTGGAAGTGCTGGCACTTATCTTTACTTTGTCTCCTTCATCTTCCTCTGCACATTTCTTATGTTGAATCTCTTTGTTGCTGTTATTATGGATAATTTCGACTACCTAACACGTGATTCCTCCATTCTGGGTTCACACCACCTTGAGGAGTTCATTCGTGTATGGGCTGAATATGACCCAGCTGCAACGTATGTGAAACAGAGTCTACTTATAATGGCTCAGTAGTTACTTTCTAAAAAATTTTGACAAATTACAGGGGGAGAATACATCACACAGACATGTACGAGATGCTTCGCAAACTCGAACCGCCAGTGGGGTTTGGTAAAAAGTGTCCTTACAGATTTGCCTATAGAGTAAGTCCATCCATGTGCACTAATTAACGGCATGCCAGTAGATATTCCAAACTCACATACGAGTTTTATGCTTGCAGAAGCTGATAAGAATGAATATGCCCGTGGATGATTCTGGTTGCGTTCAATTTACTACAACCCTGTTCGCGCTAATTCGGGAATCTCTGAGCATCAAAATGGGTCCAGCTTCGGTGATGGACATTAAAGACGCGGAATTAAGGGATACAATCAAGGAAATGTGGCCTCTGCAGGCTAAGAAAGTGCTAAATCTTCTTGTGCCAAATGATGAAGGTGAGTAAGACTAATTGACTAATTAGTTGGAGTCAAGTGGATCATTTACTTGTCTTCGATTCAGAGCTCACCTGCGGAAAAATGACAACTGGAAAAATTTATGCCGGTCTTCTGATGTACGAGACGTGGCTGGCCAATGGAAAACTGGGCAAAATTGAGGCTCCTGTGAGTTCAATGCAAACTTCAAAGAGTCGTCTTTATACACACACGAAATTCACATTTTATGTAAATTTTAGATTATTGAAGGCAATTATAAAAAATCTGAGGAAAGTAACAGGTTTGTTAATTATTTATTTTTTTAACACATTGAATTTGGACTTAAAAGTTGTAAAAAAAATTTTGTCTTTTTTCCCATTAAATACAGCAATTCGCCACCGGAAGCAATTCCACCAACACTTATTCCCCCTCAACCAGTTGTAAGTGGTTCTGGAAACTCGTGTTATTATTTAATAAAACACTAAAATTTTGAATGCCTTCACTTTTCCAAGAGCGCCAACGCGGAACACGAGAGGCGACACTTCAACTTCGATGAGGCAGAGGAGGAGGAGGAGCAACACGTGCAAAATGAGGCCAGACCAATGATTCCAGACGCTCTTACTAACTCTCAAGTTCTCATCGGATCCAACCATTCACCGCCTACTTGTGACCTCCGACCACCAGCACCAAAGGGTCTCGTTCCTCCAACTTCTGGAGCCAATGAGACATCACCGGTTGGCCCCTCTCTACCCCCTAGTCCATTCCTTGATTTCGCCTCAGCGGTCACCTCTTTGATGCAACAGGTCAACCTGATGGTGGAAAGAGAACGCACACAAAAGTTCTTGGGTGAGTAGATGAGAAAGTAACTGTGTTTTGTAAGTGACACAAACGTGCGGTCTTCTTAACTTTGAGAATTCGAGAGTGTAACTCATCATATTTTCGGGCGTATCTCATAACAATGAGAACTTTATTTCCTATTTTACAATTAGGCCTATATTTGTTAGAAACGTCTTTTTTGGCTTATGATAACGACGAAGGCTGCGATTAATAATCAGAGAAGAGTTTAAATGTCTTTCATTGAATCTGAAATGGGTCAATTGCAATTTTCTCAGGTACTAAACGCTCTCAACTGTATCTAGAGTCTTTATATTTTCAAAAGGCTTTATTTTCTTATTAAATTTAATAAAACTTCCCTCAACCAATTAAACCCCCTCTTATGCAAAAAATCGGAAATAGTTGCCGATTATTGCAAATGAATTCCTAAGTTGTACCACATCCAAATATATCTTTATTTCGAAATAGAGGTTAATTCTTATTCAAATTCGAATTTTTTCATCCATCTGTTAATTAAATCTCAAAGGGTGAGATCTATGGCATATATCTTAGAACAAGCGAAATCTGAAACATTTTTCAAAGCCACAAATAGCAGTTACCCACTTTGGGGATACGAGTTCATTAACTTCAAGTGATGCACGAATTTTTGTTCTTCATCAAAATGCCACGCAATTGAACGCTTTCACTTGCCCGGGTTTGTTTTAACTGTCCCCAAAATCATCCATGAACTATTTTTTTGCGCAAATGCCTGAGCTAATCTAATCATCTGCATTTATTTTGTAAGGACGATCGTCCGACGAAGTCGATTGGGAATCGATAGTGGCGTATCGGGCACAGCAGGGACTTCGCAATCGAAGTCGATCACGATTCCTGGCTGCTGCCACCGCAAACATTGCAACAAGAAATTTAGCCAAAACTTCACATCGGCCGAACTATAGATATTTTGGCGGAAATCCGCATAATCAGATCACTAATAATCCCATTACTGATAGTGTGCCAACCTTTTCAGTTGATGAAGTGGCTTCTACTGATGTTACAGAACATCAAGAACCGCAACATGAAATACTTCAGCATCCCCCTCCCCCTCCTCCTCCTCATCCTCATCCTCAACGATTGGTTAAACCAATTAGCCAATGGGTGCATAGCACAGCGCTGGATCTAGCTCGAGATGATTGGTACAATAGGTGGAATCAGAGTAATGAGTGGAACGAACAATCCCCGTCTCCCATAGCCCACGATTTCGGGCTGCATGCGTGCTCCCCTAGTTACCGCGAGAAATCCAATAGTCCAATCGAGTCGCCTCTAATCACTCGACATTCCTCAAGAACGCGAAAAATCAATTTCCCTTCACTTATGCCATCCCCAACGGCTGAACTTAATCAAGCGGATTTGCATTTCTCAGGAAGTCAATACGGGAATCGTCCACAAGCGGTGAGACCAAATGGAGTGGATTATGGAACTCCAACGGGTCATTCAGTGAACGAGTCTGCCCCACCTCAATGGCCACCCGACATCGGCCAACGAAAGAGACAATGTCAACGACCACAGCACTTTTTCTGACAAAGTTCCCAACCCTTATTTAGCATTTTATTAATCTGTGAATGTATGTTTGTTTTGTTTCAATTGTTGATACGACGGTGTTTTAAACTGCAATAAAGTTAACCTGAGATGCAGAAAAAATCGATATCTGTCATTGAAAATATTTATACCAAATGGTAGGCTTATTATGATCGCTATCATTAACCCTTTCGTTAACGTCGAGTTCCACAGAGGGGAGGAACGGGCAAAGTCACAAAACGTCGAGAAGGGGAACAGACGAGGGATTCACAGATGTAGAAGCGACTGATGCAAAGGTAGAGAAAATGGTAAGGTGAGTGCTGTGAAAGTGGTCGAGTATGACATAGAGTGAAGTAATGGTAGTCTGAAGTCAGAAGTCAACAACCGGCTAGTAGACGTTGCCCAAGGTGCCCACGTGGAGGTAGGTCTATCGCACAAACCGTGCAACTAAATTTTCATGTGAGACTATGTAATGTCTGCCCGTCTTTTTGCAATCTTAATCATACATTGATAAAGGTATTTTTAACAATTATTTGGCATTTTAAGTAAAATGTAATATTTGTGGAAAAGTCAAACCTGGCTTTCTTACCAAGCCGAATTCCCTTTTCTTTGTGAGACAACGAAAAATCGAAGGTTAAATTCTAACTAACTCTTTAACTTTGAATGTAAACCGTCACATGCATCATTTGCGAAATTGAAGTAGATTTCTACACTAATAAGTCCTGACTGAAGCTCAGTAGTCACTAGAGCAAGATGTCCTGGTTCGGAATGGCTGTTGCCAGTAGCATCCCTACCTCAGTGGTATAGAGGAAACAGACCTATGGTGAAGAACGCGTTTATTTGGACTGTGTGTGAATGGGGTTGACATGGAGCTTAATCATTAAACACAGTTTGGGTATGATACCACTGTAATGACTAGTGGCTTGTTGAGTGATCAAGAAGTCTTTGTAATCGTGACCTCATTTACTCCCTAACGCGATCAGCATCACGTCCACACGTTTCAGAACGTTTGAGTGCGTAAGGGATCCTTTCTCGTTTAGCCATATTAACATTGTGCTTCCCATAATACTTCTCCCCCTAAAGCGTTTTTAGTTTGCTAAAGGGTAAAAAGAGTTTGATAATCAGTTGATGTGCTTAATCGGCCAATCGAGAGTATGAGATGCTTTGGATAGGGTTAACATTATTTACATTATCTACATGCAAGTACTGGAATGTAAGTGTGTGTGTTAGGGCGCACATCATCTTCTGATGATGGAGTTGGGGCATTCGAGGGGTGTTTTTTAAACAGGCTCAGCAAGGGAAATTTCAGGAAGAACGGGGCGTTTACATCAAGGAGGGCAAAGTGGAGCGTGCATGCAATTAGTATTTTCAATGCGTGATTGGTATTAGCTGGAAGCGGTTTGCTGCTTGATTTCAAGATTGAGATTTTACGCTTCCATAGACCACTCTTTCGGCGCCGTCTGCATGATAGAAATCACCTTTTCATTGAATGTAAGTAGTTTTTAAGTGGCACTTTTTTGGTTAGCTAGATGACTTTTCTTTGGGCTTGAGGATTTGCAGTATGCTAGATGGAGATGGGGTTTGTTAAGAGGTTAACAAGTTGATGGAAACAGGCTCTGATGTATCGAAGTAAAGTTCCATGGATTGTTAGCCATGGATCAGGTAAATTTGTCTTCCTGTGGGTTCCCAGAGTAGAAGTTGGTGTTTCGGACTACTGGGCTGAATAACTCATTTGTACAGATTTTGCTGATTCGCCGCAGTTGGTTTTGACCATCTCCATGAGTAGAATTGGAATCATCAGCCAGATTTAGAAATTCTTTGAAGAGTTCACGTGTATCAGTTTGGAATAGCTCGATATCGACTTCCTTCATCGAATTAACACTCATTAAGAATAGTTGACAATTAAGGCCAATAGAGTCCACCATGTTCATATTTTGTCGTTTATTGGTATTTACCGATGCGACTGAAGTAAAATCAATTGTCAAAGGTTGTTTATCATATGTAGGATCAGAGAGGTAGGTTGGAGAAAACTTGTTTTCCGCAGAATGAGGGCTAACGCTGACGTCAGAACCGTGAGATTTCCTTTCAAGGCAGTACACTCAACATTGGGGTATTTGTGATTTGGTTAGCATACCTTGACGTCGACTCCGTATGTCCGGTGATAGCAGCGGATTTGGCTTCGGTGTTTTGAGGGGCTGCCAGCAGGAGAATCCTCTCTACCGCAAGCGTTTTGCTAGAATGTCAGATTTTTGTGGGGTGAGAGGCCGGGAAATTGAAGTTTCTTAGGATGAACACGTGGCTGAGAAGATTGTAATTGAAACAATACAATAAAAATGTTTAGAATAATGGTATTTATTTTAAAGTAGTAATTAGATGAGCGAATGATTGTAAAAAGTATCATAAATAATATCTTTAATAATGGTACGTTTCGACACAATAAAAAGATTAGTTAATGCATCAAAATGTTATTTTCCCTCATTTTACCATTTAGGACTCTAAAAATTATATGTTAGTTAGGAATTGAAAGTTTGGCCTTAACAATGAGACTTAAGGTACAAAAGTTGTTAGTTAATTCAATTAAAGGTCAGTGGGGGATGTTACATTAATAAAACTTGGCTTGACCTTAATCATTCACTCCTTCAAACTCTTCTCGTGCACAACTGCTCCTAGGAATAGTTTAGTTGCCTCAAGACTGATGTCGCGTTTATTACAAACTGGCCGGATAATTAATACTTGAAATACAACCTTGAATGAGCATCAAACGCTACTTCTTCAAGAAATCCTTTGCGCGCCTAGCCCATTTGCTCTGCAGTTCAGTGCGATCAGTCTTATCAGAGTATTCTAGTACTTGCGAGCTTACTGTGGTTGACCTCGGAACAACTTTTCAGCAAACAGATCAATGATCCGTGAACTTAAATATATAATAAAGACTATTTTATATTTACCCCATAAGCTGTTATGTGAAGAACAGTTGCCGCTACACTTTGTAATCTAGAATTAACCCAGTAGATTATTTGGTAATTCCAATAAAGTGAAGAGGAAATTAACAAGGATGAAATTGAAATAATATTAGAACTGACATGGTGTTGATATAACTTGGAAGATTATTTATAGCATTTCAACACATTTGAAAACAAATTTTAAATAGTTATCATACGTAAAAAGTTTATGTTGTAATTGATTGAGAGATCTTCGATGAATTTATTATAGATTTATTAACGGACATTACTAGTGGCTAACAATTATATACATTGAATAGACAACTTCCGTTTTAACGATAAATACCAACGCATATTACTTTGTTGTACATAATAAAATTATTTTTTCTTTGCCATAAGTAAAGAAAAACCTAACTGAATACATTGTTGGTACCAAATAATGTAAGGAACAGAATGTATCTGTGTCGGCATCAGAATTTTTTCAATTTGAGTTTTATAAATGAGATTGGCGTTATAATTGAACGTAAATTAAATTTTCAAAAGGTAAAAGAAAATAAACACGAATTTCAGTCGGAAATTTGCATCACGTTCAATTTGGAATACAGCAAGCGCAAGTAGATACCTAATTAAAATTATAGAAATATAAACAACCCGCAATAGCCTATTTTATTATCCAAAATTAATTAGCGAAAAATTATTAGTTCATGAGAAGCAATCAAATATTTTAAAACTAGAGTCATAATAAATGGATGCGCTTTATTTACATCACAGTTGCGTTGTTGGTGAGAGGCCTGCTTCCTCCTTTTTGAAGTGTCTTGAGCATGTCTAAGGAGTCCGAGTTTAGCTGCGCATTTGCCTCCCCAAAATTTTACGCTCTTTGTGGTCTTGGTGGTATTCTTAGTTGTGGTACTACTCATACCGCTATTGTCCCCTTGGATTTGGTTAAATGCAGATTGCAAGTCGATAAAGCAAAGTATGGTAACCTCACTCAAGGTTTCCGTGTGACCATTAAAGAAGAAGGCGTTCGTGGCCTTGCTCGTGGCTGGGCACCAACTTTCTTCGGCTATTCTCTCCAGGGGCTCGGAAAATTCGGTTTTTATGAACTCTTTAAACATACGTACTCTGGTATGCTCTCCGAAGAAAACGCCTTCCTTTGGAGAACATCTGTCTATTTGGCTGCTAGTGCTAGTGCCGAATTCTTTGCCGACATTATGCTTTGTCCAATGGAGGCTCTCAAAGTCCGTATCCAAACTATGCCTGGATTTGCTAACACTCTTCGGGAAGGTTTCCCCAAAATGGTTGCTGCTGAAGGAATTGCTGGCTTCTACAAGGGTATCGTTCCCCTTTGGGGTCGTCAAATTCCCTACACTATGATGAAATTCGCTTGCTTCGAAAGAACTGTTGAGGCTTTGTATAAATACGTCGTCCCCAAACCACGTTCCGAGTGCACAAAGGGAGAACAATTGATTGTAACTTTCGCTGCCGGTTACATAGGTAAGATACCGGTTATTCCTGGGTAGGACTTATTGCTTCTTTTTATAGCTGGCGTCTTCTGTGCCATTGTGTCTCATCCACCGGATACCATCGTCTCTAAGTTGAACAAGGATCCAAATGCCAAACTTATGGAGGTTGCTAGAAACCTTGGTTTGCGGGGTAGGTTGTTTATTCTATGAATCAATTTCCATTTTATTGCGTTTTTACCTGGTTGTCAATTTATAATCCATCTAGGTATGTGGACTGGTTTGGGACCCCGTATCATCATGATCGGTACCTTGACTGCCCTTCAATGGTTCATCTATGACGGCTTCAAGGTCGTTATGCGTCTCCCACGTCCCCCACCACCAGTCATGCCTGAGTCCCTCAAAGCCAAGCTCGAGGCCCAACAGCACTAAATTGTGCTCTTCTCCCCTCCCCATTAGTGACTAAATGTAAAAATTCCATCTATCTCATTTAGTGAAACACTTACCTCTCCCAAGTAGTTGTAAATTAAATTCACATTTGGATCTCATGAACCATTTGAGTATTCTTTATTGTCACTCGAAAGTTACTTGATTAATTTATATTACTCTATAGTTCATAAGTCGTATATTTCGCTCAAATTAGATAATGATTAATTATTTCGCTCAGTATGCTTGTCACGGTGTGGGTATTTCGACTTATTTTTAATGGTGTCCGTTAAATCGAAGCCAGTTCCTCGCGGTAAGAATGCGAAGGTAAGTTGTGAGCGTTTAGACTTGCGCTTTAGGGGTTGGTTGTGTTTTCTGGTACACTTTATGATTATTTACGGTGTTGAATAACTAAACCGGTAAAGTGATGTGGATGTCCGTTGCGTTTGCACAGGTGCCTCTCGAACTTGGATTGTCTCGGCCAACTTCTTTTCGGTTAATGGTTTGTGAATAACGTGTTGCTAGCGATCTACTGATTGAAAACTAGTATATCTTTGAAGCTAGTTTTTAACGCTAAGTTCTGGTCCTAATCTTGCTTTTGAGGCGCTAAGGATAACCAGGTTAAGCATATTGGTATTCTGGTCTCATCATCTAACACCAATGTAAAGGAAAAGGGTTTCTGAACTCGTCTGGAGATGTGCATGATGATCATTTTAACTAGTAGTAACAGACGTGTGGTTTGGCCAAATGATGCATCCGAAGTACTACCGATATACGGGCAAGCGAGTTTACATAGACCATTCCAATAGTACACTTGTTCGGGATTTCCGTAGATCTTTGAACAAGATTCTCCGCTTACTAAATAATTGATACAACAGAACATGTCATCTGCTCAGGCAAGAATTCTCAATGACCGTCCGCACCACATAGAATTCAACGGCTCATCTTTTGGTTACCACACTAGTATACACAATCCATAAGAATAGGAAAACGACAAACGCGCAAATCACACAGAACTGTTTCGCTTCATTAAGCTTTGGCGAGTTTTATGAGAATTCCATTTTATGTTAACCAATCATGCTTCACTTAACACGCTTGACACCATTTCTCAGCCAACCCTTGACACATTTACATGTCATGCTCTCTTTGTTTCAGCGAAAGTATGTTTTTAATCATGCACCTTCCCACAATGTCTTCTTCAACTGAGCGACCTTTTAATATGCCCTACTCGAAAATTAGTACTTTTTCGATGCTAAATCAAGGACTTTTAAGGCATTAGTCGCACAATCACATTTCGATTTGAAGGACTTTGAACTTGAGATGAGTGTGATAGAACGCTTGATTCTAACAACTAATCATATTGTCAAAATCATGTCTACTTAAATGTATAGAGTAGTGAGTTGTTTTAAACTTCTCTCAAGGACTCCTAGAGTTTATCCATAAGGTAATGCTAGGTTCTAGTTAAAATAACTATTGTTTCCTCAGAACCAATACTCAAAAGAATGCTTAAATGTCTAAATTTTAGGAATTCCCCCAAAGTTAATATAATTTCGTGTATTTTAATTGATATGTAAAATTTATTAATGATTGGCAATTACTTGATCCAAGCTCTCCGAAAAGTCATTTGTTGAAAATACTGAACTCAGCTCCGATATTGTCATCAATCTATCGACCTGGCAAATAACTTCGCTGTTTATTTATCACTTATTCTTTCGACCTATTCTCCTTATCGCGTAGAGGTGGTGGTGGCCAACTTCCTCAATGGTTCAATCACAGCTAACTTAAATACGTTTGGTCACTGACTACTTGAAATGCTATAAATGACCAGTTTCAGACAATCGACATACACCCGGCTTCCAGTGTGGCAGATCATGCTATCCCCTTACCTTAGCAATAATTGCTTCATTATCACTGGCCACCACACTGTAAACTATTGCAATATTCAAATGACGCTTTAAATCGCGTAATGGTAACATTTTGTATGTAACCAGACAGAGGGGTTTTAAGTAACAATTAGAGAAATCCCCTTTAAAATACACAAAATTTTACTTGACAATGTCGAAATTTCCAATCAAATATAACACTGGAGGAATCAAAGCTGTTTTCAAATTGTGCAATTTAGTTAAACAAATTAGCCTGTCGTGCCATATCGATTATTTTGTAGCGTATTTTTTCACGAGGCATTTGTTTAGCTGGTTCCATGGGTCAAGCATCGAAGTAAATTCACATTGAGCATTAGAAACATAAAAGAACGAGTTCCGAAGTACTGTGTCATCAAGCAATTTTCTTTCTGCAATTTTTGACAAAATGGGGTGTGCGATAGACTTATCTCCATGTGGTGCACCCTGGGCAACGTATACTCATACGGCAAAAAAGTCTATTAACCTGCAGTTGACTTCGCACTTCAAACTACCCCCACTGTAAGCCATATTCAACCCATTTCACAGTACTCATCTTACCTTATCTCTGCTCTTTTGTCTGTCTCTGTCACATCTGTGAATCATTATTCTGTCCCCCTCTCGACTTTTTATCCCTTTGATGTTCCTCCTCCTCTCTGTGAAGCCTGAAGTCAGCTGAATGGCTAATGATAACTATCAAAACGCCTGCCATTTGAAATAAATAAATAAATAAATAAATTTTTGACAAAATTCCCATGGTAATTATAACGTACATTATTAAAATCTTCCCCCAACGAGGCAACAGCACTCAATAAATATTCAGTAGCCAAAAGATTAATTCCAATTTTTTGGGTGAGGGGTAGGGAGATTTCCATTGAC